CCCCCTTGTTCAGGTCAGCTGTCTTCATGGGCTTCACCAGTCTGGTCCTGACCTCTTTGCTCTTCACTCCTCCCTCTCTGCAACTGGGTTCCAGAGTTGAGTTCAGTGTTTAGCTATGGGTGTCTGCTTCTGCGTCCATCAGCCACTGGATGAGGGCTCTAGGATGGCATATAAGGCAGTCATCAAGTCACATTATAGGGGAAGGGCATTTAGGGTAGCCTCTTCACCATTGCCTAGATTGTCAGTGTCATTCTTGTAGATCTCTGGAAATCTCCCTAGTACCAGATCTCTCCTTGAATCTATAATGGCTCCCTCTGTTATGGTATTTCTCATCCTACTGTCCTCTATTCTTCCCCCGACTCAACCTTTCTGCTCCCCCATTTTCTCCTCTCCCATCCTCTTCTCTCCTCCTCATTCTCCCAGCTTCCTCTCCCCTACCCTCATGCTCCCAATTAGCTCGGGAGATCCTGCCCCTTCCCCTTCTCCGGGGTCCATGCATTCCTCTCTTAGAGTCCTTGTTTCCTAGTGCCTTTGGTGATGAGGATTGTAGGCTGGTAATCCTTTGCTCTATGTGTAAAATCCATATATGAGTGAGTACATACCATGTTTGTCTTTTTGTGACTGGGTTACCTCACTTAGGATGGTTTCTTCTAGTTCCATCCATTTGCCTGAGAATTTCAAGATTCCATTGCTTTTTTCTGCTGAGTAGTACTCCATTGTGTAAATGTACCATATTTTCTCTATCCATTCTTCAGTTGAGGGGCATCTAGGTTACTTCCAGGTTCTGGCTATTACAAACAATCCTGCTATGAACATAGTTGAACATATGTCCTTGTTATATGAATGTGCATTCTTTGGGTATATGCCCAAGAGAGGAATTGCTGAATCTTGAGGTAGACTGATTTCCATTTTCCTGAGAAACCACCATACTGATTTCCAAAGTGGTCTTACAAGTTCGCACTCCCACCAGCAATGGAGGAGTATTCCTTTTTCTCTACATCCCCTCCAGCATTGACTGTCATTGGTGTTTTTGATTTTAGCCATTCTGGCTGGTGTAAGATGGTATCTCAGAGTTGTTTTGTTTCCCTGATGGCTAAGGATTTTGAGCACTTTCTCAACTGTCTTTCAGCCATTTTAGATTCCTCTGTGGAGAGTTCTCTATTTAGTTCTGCACTACACTTTTTAATTGCATTGTTTGGTGTGTTGGTGGCTAGCTTCTTGAGTTCATTGTATATTTTAGATATCAGCCCTCTGTCAGATGTGGGGTTGGTGAAGATCTTTTCCCATTTTGTGCATGCCCAAAATTCTAACTCTCTAGCTTTATAGACTTCAATGGCTGTTTTATAGAGTGAAACTACCCGTGTGGTTGTGTTTCCTGAGTTTCTTGAATTGAGAAAGACTCCACTTTCAACCTTCCTTGTTCACTTTCCCCCATCTATCTACTCTGATTCTCTCTAACCAAATCTTCTCAATAACCTTTATTTTTTTGTTTTATCATCCCAAAGCCTCCTGTGAGCCTCCTCATGGGTGCTGAGAATCAGACCTGAGTCTTCTTCCAGACACCCACAGTCTCATTCACTGAGCCATCTCTATCCTGTCTGTTTTCAATTCCTTTTTAGGGGGCCGGTAGGGTTTGAGACATGCTTTCTAGTGAAAGAATACTTACTGTTTTAGAACTCACTCTGTAGACCAGGCTGGCCTCAAACTCACAGAGATTTGCCTGCCTCTGCCTCTTGAATGCTGAGATTAAAGCCATACCCCATCACCCCCCCCCTTCTTTTTCAATTCTTTTTTTTTTTTTTTTTTTTTGGTTTTTCGAGACAGGGTTTCTCTGTGTAGCTTTGGAGCCTATCCTGGCACTTGCTGTGGAGACCAGGCTGGCCTTGAACTCACAGAGATCCGCCTGCCTCTGCCTCCTGAGTGCTGGGATTAAAGGCGTGCGCCACCAACGCCCGGCCTTTTTCAATTCTTAATGACAGTTTCATGTACGTCCTAATTTTAAATCATGTGCCATTTGCCACAGATATGGATATTATCTGGTTCAAATCATAATTTGATGTCTCATGCTAATCCCTAAAAGGGGTTCAGATTGCAATGTCGTGTGTTCATCAGTTAAAGAAAAGATACACATGTGTTTATTAAAAAATCCTTTTTTAAAAAATTGTTGTTTCCTCCACCATTGTCCCATAGCTTCCAGTATGGAGCCAGACTGGTAGCCAGCAAGTCCTGAGGATTCTACCATCACATCTACCCCCATTCCTCTCAGAGTTGGGATTATAGGCATGTGTAGCCAGTCCTGGCTTTTTATCAGAGTGCTGGCAATTTGAACTCACAAGGATAATTGTAATAAGCAAGTGTTATCCACTGAGCCATCTTTCCAGTGCAGTACGTCCATGGATAGCTTCTGACTACACATCAAGTCATCCAAGGAAATATTTGATGTAAATTATATCTATACTGAACATATATAGACTTTTGTGTTTGTCACTATCCATACAATACTATAATAAGTATCTGTGTAACATTCACATTGTATTTTACATTATAAATGTAGAAAAGATATACAGTATGAAGAAGATATGTTATGATTTTATACAAATACCACTTATTTATTTTTCCATATGTGTGTGTGTACATGTGTATATCTTCATGGATGTATGTCAGTCTAGGTACATATGTGTGTTTGTATGTGCAAGCATGTGGAGGTCCAACGCTGATATTGGGTGTCTTTTGCTTTCTTTCCACCTTATATATTGAGCACAGCTCACTGACCATACCTAGTTCTGCCCTGTGGGTCCTCTGTGTATGCTTCCCTCACACTGGGATTACAGGTGTGCCACCATGACTGCCCGACATTTACTTGGGTTCTGAGGACTTGAACTCCTCACCCTTGCTTGGTAAGTGCCATACTGGCTGAGCCATCTGGCCAGTCCATAAAATTTTAATAAGGACCTTGGGCACCTGAAGATTTTGGTATCTGTGGTGGAGTGCTGGCACCAGTTTCCTGTGATAATGTGGACAACGCTGTATCTCTGTATTTAAATAATGATTAGTGGGATATTGTGGGTTTTCTTCTGCATCTGTATCTATATTACACATTTTCTATCGCAAACATATACTTCTATTTTTAAAAAATATGAAGATAGTTCCAGAGACAATGTATGTGTGTGCATATTTGTGTTATTTTTAGTTTTGGCTGAAATGTACTGTGGGCTTGTTACTCAAAAGGCTTGTTGTACAAAGCTCAGGGCCTGTAGCATTGTTTCTGTTTTTGCTTGTTAGAGGTAACCTCATCTTCTCTCAACAGATGGTTAGTGTTTTGACTGAACAAGTGTCATGAGCATGTCACAAGAGGACAAGAAAATGATGACATCCATAGTTGAATGTTTTGTTTTTAGTTCCAGTTGATCAGTTTTAGCAATGATTGAACTTGGAACAGAATATCAGTCTAATCAATATCTGACTATACCTTTGCTCTGGTTTATCACTGAAGTTTAACAGCTTTTGTTTGTACTTTCATTTTATTTATTTTTATCATTTTTTATACAGGTGTCATGTAGCCCAGGCTGGCCTTAAGTCTACTATGTATACAAGAATGACCTCCAGATATCTTGTGTCTATTTCCCAGACTGAATTTTAATTTACAAAACATAGTTGGAACAAGTGATTTAAACTAACACTTAACAGTGGTTGTCTCTGGTTACAGTTGACAAGCAAAGCGAAAATTCTCCGTTACTGGCAGACAATTGGTTTCTGCTCCTTACTTCTGAGAGGGTGGGAGAACAAATGATGGGAAAACATTGAAATTGTTTCCTAAGATGGTTTCTTAGAAAATGCTGTTTTCCTATATCCTTGGGGAAATTTGGCTGCAAGCTTACAGTTACTACATTTTTGCCTACAGAATGGGCTAAAGTTAGTATCATATCCTTTCTGGTTGCCAGAGGCAACACAGTTTAATTTGTGCCCTGGTGGCAGTCATTTTAAAAATAGTTTTAGTAATTTTTGTTTTGCGTGTGTATGAGCACGTGTATGTGTTGGGGGCTAGGCACATGGTATTGAGCCAATATGAAGGTCACAGGCCAGTCTCAGTTTGCTGGTTTCCTTCCACCTTGGCTGAGGGAAGGTTTCTTTGTTGTTGGCTGCTAAGGTGAGCTGTTTCTGCCGGGCTCCCTGGTCCACAACATTCAGGGATTCTCCTGTCTCTGTCTCTGCCTCCCATCTTACCATAGGAGCATTGAGATGACAAACATGTGCTGTCTGCCTGGATAGATTGAAGTTCTTGGGATTCAGACTCAATGACTCACACCGGGAAAGCTTGTGCTTTACCATTGAACCACCTCCTCAACCCCTTACCCCCTTTATCTTTTTCTGCTGCAATTTCATTTCTTAGCTTTTAGTGCTTCTCACTCAGCCTGACTCTATCCTTTCTGAGTTCCCACCTATCAGTGCTGGTTGAAGAAAGCCGAACAACTAAGGTGCAGATGGTCACGTCAGGGACAGCCGTGACTGTGTCTGTGCACATCCTGAGGGCTGTGTAGGTTGGGAAGCTTATGCTCTAGCCTGTGGATGTCAGTTTTGTAGACAGACAGAAAGCCAATGCATGCGTGTTTGAAATTTGACACAGTGTGGGAGAGAAGCACACCCAAGAGCTGCATTGGAGAGGTTTGGTGTTCTTAAGTTGGTGGATCAGGATTTCTTGCCTGCTCTGCTGTTCTGTTTTCTGATTGCCCTTGAGTGGTTTTGTGATACTAACTGTTGTATATCACAGATGACAAAATTCACATACCGAAATCTTTAGGGTCACAGTAGTGCAAGTCCCCTGAGATCTGGACAGGTTTTGTCTGGCTATGCTTTTCTTGAGTCATGGCTGTACATGCAAAAGTCATTTTTATGTAACAAGTGTTACTTTAAAGTATGTCCTAAGCTAATCAGGGGAGAAAAGATGTAATTCTTATAGCTGTGTCTACAATCAGAACACTTTCCTTTTTCTTTTAATGCAGAGTGGACACAGATATCTACCAGGTACCTTAGAGAGCAGTTGGTCAAGATCTCTGACTTTTATCACATGGCCTCCAGTACAGGTGATGGTCCTGTCCCTGTGCCACCAGAGGTCGAGCAAGCCATGAAGCAGTGGGAGTATAACGAGAAGCTGGCATTTCACATGTTCCAGGTAACCTATCAAGGCATGCAAGAAAAGGATCCCTTCCAGATACAGTCGCATGCAGGGATGGATGCTGAGGAATGGGCTGCTAGGTGATTTTATCATTCTACAAACATCACAGAGTATACTTACGTATAAATACAGATGGTATAGCGTGCTACATACTTAGAGTATATGACACAGTAGATAACCTGTTACATGTGGTCTTTGGTTGACCAAAACATGCTGGCAGATGTCTATATTTGTATTTTCTGGGGCTAAATAAATAATGTATCTTTTTTTTTTTTTTTTTTTTTTTTTTTTTTTTTTCAACAGGGGTTTTTTTTTTTTTTTTGCTGCTATCACACGAGGTTTATTGACAGGAACCAGCACGCTGGGGCCGAGACTCATATCCCACGCAGGGGTAGAGGAGTTTTGACCCCCTAAATAATGTATCTTTATATGAACTGATGCATTCATAGAAAGACACTTAACATTTCTCTCTATGCAAATGAAATTTTGAGGCAAGTTCTTTCTGGCCTTGAGCTCACTTATGTAGACCTTGCTGGCTTTCTCTGCTTCCCTGGAGTTATAGGCATGTACCACAGTGTCAGGCACATCTCTTACAATACATTCAAGGGAACATGGGTGCTCGGTGATGACAGTTTATTACATATGTATCTACAGCTCTCAGTGATATCAGGTATTTTAGTGCCATTAATTACTTTGTAATTGTGCTGTTAAGCACAACCCTCTTAAACTCTTTATTTTGCAAGTTAGATATATTTATTTATAAGTGCCTTCTTGATGCAGCTTCCTATCTCATAAAGGATCTCCTCTGCTGCTGTAGTATCCCACGTGAAGATCATCTTCATTTAGTTCAGTTGTATCTTGAAATTAAAGCTTAAGGGATAGATTAAGGGCAACCAGGAACTATGGGATTCTCACCCGGACAATCTGCTGTAATTCTTATGACCAGCAGTGGTCAATTGTGGTATTATTTGCCTTTTTTTTTTTTTAATTTCTGACAAGGTGTATTCAGCTAAAGTCCTCTTATTAGCCCAGATTATCATTATCCATCAGGTTTATCAAAGAGGAAAGGAATACGTGGTTTTAAATGTTCCACTTAGAACTTTAATTGTAATGGCCAGGTAGCAAGTGAGTTTTAGAAACAGCTCACATAGTAAAACAAACAAACAAACAAAAAGTTGTGTGGTTCTTTTGTGAAGTAGCATTGTTAGTTTTTAAGTGACGAAACACAGCCCTTAAAAACCCCAGCCCCGTTTATGCTGACTGCTTTAGAACCTGCTCCACACTCTTCTGGCTTTTACTAAGCTAGCCATTTAATTGTCATTTCAGAAGTGTGCTTTCTTAGCACACTTGATTCTGTTATAAAGATTAATATAGTAGTAACATTTCTTTATTGTGACTGTGAATGTGTGTGTATGTGTCCACATGCATGTGTGTCCACATGCACACAAATTACATGGCCTATACATGCAGGTCAGACAATAACCTGTGGGATGTTCTCTCCACCATGTGGGTTCCAGGGAGTGAACTCAGGTCTTCAGGCTTGGTAGCAAGTATCTTTACTGCTGAGGTATCCTGCCATCCAGGATGTCTTTTAAAATAGAAAACACATCTTAGAATAATGAAAATTGATGTCAACTTAAAAGTTCCTTTATATTTTAATTCACTGTGTCGTGAGATGTGAAAGATAGTGTAGTATGCACAATGTGTAGACATATATATGCAGAATAGAAATACATAAGCAAAAGAATTGGAGGATTGAGTCTGTGAGTTTTTTTTCAATGTTTTATTATGTGTGTGTGTGTACGCATGTGCACGCTATTTCTTGCCCTGTCTGCATGGATACCTGGAGGCTAAAGGTCAACAGTGATTATTGATGGTTTCCTCAGAAGCCTGCTATCTTGTTTTTTTGTAATAAGCTCTCCCACTGAGACTTTAGGTTTAGTCTAGGTTGGCTGGCCAATGAGCCCAAGGGTCTAAGTTTATGTACTTCTCTGCCCTGGGATTGTGGGTTCATGCCATCATGTTATCTATCATCTGTCTGTCTGTCTATCTATCTATCTATCTATCTATCTATCTATCTATCTATCTATCTATCTATCTTTGAGATAGAGTTTCTCTGTGTAACAGCTCTGGCTGTCCTGGAACTACCTCTGTAGATCAGACTGGCTTTGAACTCACAGAGAACTCACTCTACCTCCCAAGTGCTGGCACTAAAGGTGTGTGCCACCACCCCCTGCTATTTATTTGTTTATTTTTTAGTGTGGGTACTGTGAATTGAACTCAGGTCCTCATGCTTGGACAGCAAACATTTTACTTTGTGACCTGTCTTCCCAGCCCCAGTATTCCTTTTTAAAATTAAGTCTATTACCTTGTATTCACCATCATTACATATTAATGTAAAGTTTATTTTAAATCCTTACTAAAATTTATAAATACAGCATATCATTTTTATAAAACATGGCCTGTTTCCTATTTTGAAGAGTCTTTCCTCCTGTGACTCATGACACCAAGGCTATGTTATGACATTACGTGTATATGTCTAGAAAGTCATACAGATGTATTTGTACATGTGTGTGTATATACATGGAGGCCTGTGTGTGTGCATTCGTGTGTGTTTATGAAGGCAATTGACAAAGGACAGTCTGTCAGGATTAGTGGTATCTTTGGAGATGTAGCACAGTAGTAGAGGGCTTGTCAAATGCCCTGGGTCAGAAGAAGAAAAAAGATAAAGGAAAAGGGACCATGCCCCACCTGTGGGATATTTTGGAAGTGTATGGAGATGTAATTGTTTTTTAGCATTGTTGTGCAGAATCATTTTACAATTGTTTTTTATTAAGATGCCTATAATTTCCTTCATTTAATGGGTCATTCAATTGATATTTCAAATAACACATTTATAGGTAGGTGAATCTGAGAGTCATTTAAGAATTAATTTGGGCCTAGAGTCTGGTGGGAGTTTTCAGACTTTGACATGAGTCATCACAGTTAGCCCTATCTCCTCCCTGAAAATGAGTTCATCCTCCCGATATCTCGTCGGTGGCGTGTCAAGCTGGAGTGTGATGGCTTCTGAATATCTGAATTTTTAAAAATCAGTTTAGAATGAAGAGGATTGACAGAAACAAAAATAAAAACCCAGACCACTCATACTCTCCCCATCTCCAAATCCCTCTAGGTGGTTATTTTGTAGGGGTTTTGGACTGTGGATTGTGATACTGTTACTGTGACAGTAACACAGGATTGAATTTACATGTAAGTGTATCCTAAAACCTTAGGTTTTCTTTGACAATTAGTAGTGTACTTTTGCTTCATTCAAGGAAGGAATGTTGGAAAAACATGAGTATTTGACGTGGATCCTGGATGTCCTAGAAAAGATCAGACCAGTGGATGACAACCTTCTGAAGCTCCTTTTACCACTGATGCTGCAGGTATGGTGCCCATTACCTCTACCTAGTCGGTCTTGTGGCAAGAGATGAGTCTGAGAAGAAGGATTAGGGAAGGAGAGGTGCAAAGGGGAAAACCATTCCTTTTGAAAGGGAAAAAATGTTTTAAATGCCATGGAAACATTTGTATTGCTTGTGTCCATAGTTTTTATTTATTATTTTTTTAATCTAAACACATTGGTTTTCTCCTCTATCTGAGCAAGACAGCCCCTAAGTGGTGTCTCTGTTCACCAATTACTGTGGGACACAGAGAATCACCTGTATTCTTATGGCCACTTTTATGCACATTTAGTTAAGACTAATTAGTCAAATAATATTAAGTAATGGTTATTTGAATGGGATTTATTTATTTTTTTCTTAGAAAGGTAACACATAGAGGTATTGATAATTGGAATGACTTGAAAGTGTGTCACTGGGCAACACTTTCCCACATCATTCGTACCTGCCCCTGGAGCTGAGCACAACAGAGTCCTGTGTGTCCCTTCTCTGTTAGCCCTTGGGATGGTCTGTGCTTGCATTTCTTGTTTAGTCCCTCACCAGATGGGTGTTTATGTTCTTGAAAAGTCACCACCATGAACTGAGATACATTGTAAGTATAAAATGCATACCAGATTTCAGACTTTATTTAAAAATGTAAGCCCTGCGCCGCACTTTTTATGTTATTTACTTGTTGAAGTGATCTGGTTTGAAAATATTGGGTTAAATATAACATGGTATTCTTTTTGACTTTCCTTTTCCCTTTTTAAAGGTTTAGTTTTATTTATGTGTGTATAAATAAGTATATTTATGTGTGTATAAATAAGTATAAATGATATATTTATGTGTGTATAAACACCTACAGAAGACAGAGGGTATTGATCCCTTGGATCTGGAGTTAGAAGGAGTTATGAGCCTCCTGATGTGGGGGTGTTGAGAATCACAGAGTCAGCATTCTGTAACTTCTAAGCTATCTCTTGAATCCCTGTTTTATTTTCTTAATGGTTACTGGAAAATACAAGACTACATATGTGACTTTCTTTATGTTAACAGCTGGATAACATTGGCCTATCTTGTATTTATACCTTCTTTTTCCCAGTAAGGAGAGTCAAATTGAAATAGCCTCTTGGAAGCACAAGGCACGACTAACTCCTGCTGCCCTTCTTGCCCCCTCTCTCTCAGTATTCAGATGAGTTTGTTCAGTCAGCCTACCTGTCTCGTCGTCTCGCGTACTTTTGTGCCCGGCGTCTTTCCTTGCTTCTGAGTGATAGCCCCAACCTACTTGCTGCTCACTCACCCCACATGATAATTGGAGCAAACAATACGAGTATCGGGACCCCGAGTCCTGGCACCCCTGGCCCTGGTATGAGCCCCATGCAGCTAGCCTTTTCGGATTTCCTATCCTGTGCGCAGCATGGCCCTTTGGTCTATGGACTTAGTTGTATGTTGCAGGTAAGTCCGTAATGGTTTGTATTATTTTATGTTAGAATTCATTTTGGGAAAGACCCCCACCCTGGTAACTTTCATTAGAAATTTATGGTCTATTACTATTTGTTAGAACAGACTGAGATTTTTGTATTTATGCAGAAGAAAATTACTGTAATTGTCCTTTGTGGTGTTTTCATTGAATTAGAGACAGGGTCTCACCTGGAGCCTAGATTGGGCTGACACTTAGAGCAATTCTCAGCCTCCTGTATTCTCTGATTCCAGGTGAGCAATGCCACATCTGGCCTTCTGGTTGCCTGTTAGGATGGTTAGGCAGTTCCCTTGCACATCCTTCAAGGAGAACCCATAGTTCAAGTCAGCTGTGTTGGTGTTCTGTGAAGACAGTTTCTCCGGGCAGCATCCTCAGTGTCTGCAGTTGGCATCTGGAGCTGGATGCCTCTGTGTCTTTCCAGAGTCAGGCATCGTTGCTTGTGCTGTCCTTGAACATAGCAGTCTGCTGGCTCTGGGTCCTTCAGTTAGGCATGACAGCAGCCCTTCCCCAGAGCTGCCAGTATTCAGTTTCTGTGTCTTGAGTTCTTAGTGGGTTTTGCGATTTACCAAGGGGCTCTGGAACCAGGGTGTTCTGGAAGGCATAGTCTCTGTAGGGTTCACCGTCTTGATAAGAAGACAGAGTTATAAATGCTGTTTGCATATCATATGCTAAAAGTGTTACTGGAGAGATAACCCAAGGTGCTATGGGTTCAAAAGGGAACTTCTTGTCCAGCTTGAAAGCCAAGGAAGCTTTCCTGGGCAACTTTTGTAGGGGTTTTGTAGTTTCAGTGGAAAAAAGTTTGCTGGTGGGTGGGTAGGGTGTAGCATAGAAAAAGGGTCAGAGGACTCATTAGTCACCTGTGAGCAGGTAGGGTCTGGTGGGAGTGAGTGAGTGGAAGACCCTCATGGGCCTTAGGCTCAGTTGTCTTTAGGCAGTTTTATATCCGGGAAATGGTGCTGTTATTGTACCTTAGTTAACTGTTTTGTTGGTCAGAGAATGAAAAAGATTTGTGGAAGAGGACAGACAGCTCAGAAGGAGGGAGATAAGGCAAAGAAATAAAAATGTATCCAAATTTTGCCTCTCATTTGTATCCTTTAGTTCTTATCAGAAGGGTCAATTATCAGTAGATTGAAAGAACTCAGAAAAAATATCTATACTGAGGGTGTACAGACATTTTCATCTATTTCTAAGCTAACATAGTGTGATGGCTATTCACATGACGTTTATATAGTGTAGAGATGATTTGAAGTACGCACAGGGATTGCACAGATTATATGCAAATACAATGCGATTTTAGATAGGAGATTCAGCATCTTTGGATTTGGATATCTGAGAAGGGCCTTGGAACTAATACCTCACAAATGCCAAAAGATGCCAGGGTTGTTCTTTTCCTTGTAGATATCCCTAAGTGGGTCTGTTCAAGGGATGGTTTGAGGCTGCCCACAGAGTTGGTAGTGAAAAATGACTTACTGATCTGAAAGGCACATGTGGTTGAGAGATGATGAGGGAAGTCCATCAAAGAGAATGGGGAGGTTGGGTATACAGGGAAAGACCAACAGGAAATTATAGTCTGCAAACAGATGAGGAGAGTAACAAAACTCCTGCCATAGTTTTATCCTTTCTAAAGTATTAAGTTTGGTTTCAAGCACTGTGTTAAGTGGTGACATATTCAGCTATTCAGTTCTTGGAACCAGCCTTGAGATACAGGAACCATCATTTATTTAGTTTTTGATTGGCATTTTTGAGAAGGCTAAGCCAGCAACACCTGACTCCTGGAACAGCAGTGACAATTGTAGGGATTGCTTCTTACAAGCTGGCTGAGTTTTAAAAAAGTGTCCGTAAAAGTTTAGGGTAGAGGTGGGGGAGTTATCTAGACCAAACCTAGCCTATGAGCCTAGAATAGTCTTCACATTTTTATTGTGTAGCTGAAACCACCAAAGGAAAATGTGTAGGTGGCCCGCAAAGCTGAAAATATTTGTTGTCCAGATTTTTATAGAACATGTTGGATAATTCCTGTATTGGGGCATATCTGCTAAGCATTTATGGAGCTTGAAGACATACTGTTTAAGAGTTTTAAAAATAGTAATAAGAAGTGATAATCTTAGCACTTAATATTTTAATTGTATCTTTTATTTAACTATAAAAAATCATTGGAAGTGACATATGATATTTTGTTAAGCGTCCTATATTTCCTGTGTTGGAGTATTAGCTAATAAATTACACTAATTTCTTTGTAGCCCAGCTGATGACTTGTTAAGTCTTGTCTTATCACTTGGGTAGCTGAGATTGGGGAAAGACATTTTTATTTTAACAACATCTGCCTCCATTTTTATTGAAGTTGCTGTTAATACTTTTCTCCTTCCTCTAAATGTCTGGGATATTCTTGCTTTATTTCTAGACTGTCACTCTGTGTTGCCCAAGTGCCTTGGTGTGGAATTATTCCACAAATGAAAATAAGATCGCAAACCCAGGCTCTCCCCTGGATCTGCTGCAGGTTGCTCCTTCCAGCCTCCCCATGCCGGGTGGGAATACGGCTTTCAATCAGCAGGTAGACATTTGTGTCATTGCTTTTATGAATGTTTTCATTTCCAGAAGCACCTGGGCATGGTGGGCCTTGCCTTGTCTTGACACCTGAGATATCGTAATGCCTGCCCCAGCTGTGGCATGACTCTAGGTGAATTCTTTGAACTCTCCCCACTTTTTTTCAAAACCTGGATGTTCATGGAGTGTTCTGCCACCCAGGCAGCTGCCACTCTGGCAGTTTTGGTGATGATTCTGAACCCGAGTGTGGGCCCTGGAACAATGGTTTGTGATATTTAGTAATTGTTGTGTGTTTTCATTTGTAGTGTATTGTTTGTTTCAAGATTTACACAGCTTCAGCTTTGGGATTATAATAACTATTTAGCGCAAGACACTTGCCTTTCACTGAGTTGTTTTCTTATCCTGAAGTACTACTTGTTCATTTCCTGCTTAGACCAGTGGCTGAAAGATACTGGAACTCTGCCTTGCCTTGCATGCTGTAAAGGATTTTCATTTGTTGCATTGTCCCCAGGCATTTGTTTTTGTAAGCACTTAGTTTTAAATGAAATCACTTGTAAAGTTAAAAATTCATGGCTCACACAGGAATTTATGTTTCCTGTGACACAGTAAAGACTGTCACTCATCAGAGCATCATCTACCCACTTTGAAAACTTGACATGATATAGGCAGCCATTGAGAGTTTCCAAGTCAAGTTAATTTGAAGTGTTTATCTTCTAGGTTCGGGCAAGGATCTATGAGGTAGAACAGCAAATAAAACAACGAGGCCGTGCAGTGGAAGTTCGGTGGTCTTTCGACAAGTGTCAGGAGTCGACAGCAGGTACAGTATACCCCAGAGAGTGATTGCTTCAAGAGTATTCAGCTTCAGGTTTTATTCCTTGTGCTTATAAAGCACTTCACATGAATGCGGGAGCTTTAAGCCTTTAGCTACTGGCTGTCCAGAATGTCTAGTTTAGTTCTTGCAATTTCTTGATAGTATATGCTGAGAGTTAAAAGCTCTTTCCCTTGTGTAATGGTGTTTTTTAATACTCTGATATTCTGGCTTATTTAATTGCTTCCTTAATTTATACATCCAGGGGTGACCATTAGTCGGGTTTTGCACACACTGGAAGTCTTGGATCGTCATTGTTTTGACCGAACTGATTCCAGCAATTCGATGGAGACGCTTTATCATAAAATTTTCTGGGCAAACCAAAACAAAGATAACCAAGAGGTAGAAAATTTACTTTTCTTCCTTTCGTCTTGTTTTCTTCTCATTCAATAAATTCCGGTGAAGTCTTTACTAGGATGCATGTCTTATGAAAGCATGTGCATTACAAATCTTTCTTTTTGGGGACCAGGATGACTCACCATTAAGTATAATAAAATGTACATTGGGTTGGGTCTACCTTGATATATTGATGGGGAAATCTTTATTTACCTTTCATCATCTCCTCTACATTTTAGTTTTGGTACATTGCTTGTCTAGTGATTGATTTATTAGTTACATGGCTTTAGTTTGAGAAAACTAAAGTTTGGTGTAATTTAGTCTACATCACAGTAGAGGGCAGCACATGGCTGTATATGGGCATGTTAAGACTGAAAAGTTTTAACAATTATAATTTTTATTTTTTCCTATCACAAGATTGTTTTGTCAGTGAACTGTTGGATAGATATAAAAATTTTCAAAGACTGCTTTTCTTACTCAGTCTTCAGAGAAATAAAGGTATTATTTTTATAATGAAAAAAATGCCCCCACATAAGCAGCTTGTGTTAGATGCAAAGTAATACTGAGGTAAGTATTAGCACACTTTCAGAGAAAACGCTATTTAGCTAACCTACTTCATCTCTTTGGCTTTTAAGCTCGATATTGGCCATGGATTAGTGGAAAGAAGAGATTAAACAATGAAAAAAAATGCTTTCTTTGCCAGGCAGGACCTGACACTTATCCCAGAGTATTCCTCTGCTGGAATAATTTATGAGCCATTATCTTCTTCTCAGAAACAGGTTCTGGTCTGTAGGAGCCACAAAGGGACAGAGTGCTGAAAGCCTGGTGCACGTCGTGGTGTTTCTGTCTCTTGGGAATTGGGTTTCTGTACTTAGGAGAGCAGATGAGTCAGTATGATTCTCAGCTCACTGAGGGGAGGTGTGGTGTTCTTGTCCCCAAAGATGGGAACTTTCCATCCCTGTACTGGATGAAAGGCTTTAGGAATACCAAGCTTTTCACTTGTAGATGTGAGTTGTCTGAAGTGAGTTGTTTTTGTGCCAAGTGAACATAGTTCTGTGTGTTTTGGCCAACTCCATAAGATGCTTCAGACTTGTTGTACTGACTAAGAATTCTGCTTCAGGGCTGGAGAGATGGTTAAGAGATCAGCTGTTCTTTTACAGGGTCCAGGGTCCTAGTACTCACATGGCTGCTCAGAGCCATCCAACAACTCCAGTTCTAAGGGATCTAACAACTTCTTGGGACCTCCACAAGCACGAGGGATGCATATAAAATACAAACAAACATGCAGGCAAAATCTCACTCATACCCATATAATAAATAAATCTTCAAGGAAAAAAATTTAAGCCTTATTCCAATGCTTCTCAATCTCCCTATTGCTGAGACCATATAATACAGTTCCTTGTGTTGTGATGACCCCAACCAGAATAAAATTATTCTTGTTGCTACTTCACAACTGTAATTTTACTACTGTTATGAATCATAGTGTAAGTACCTAATAATATAGGATATCTTTTAAGTGACCCTCAAAGGAGTCATGACCCACAGGTTGTGATTACTCATGGAAACTCAAATTACCCACAAACAATTGTAAAAGTAAGTGATACGGAGGTTGCCTTACCAAGGGTAGAAACTGTGTTGTGATTGTTTGCCAGGACTCTCGAAGCCTTGTTACTTCACAGCAGGTACCAGAAACAAGTCACTGCATTTAAGAACTCTGTCAGGTCAAATTCTAAGAAGCTTATTTTCTTTTAAAATTAATGAACATGATCATTGTGGTGGTAGAGTTAGTTATATTGAGAATTTCTCAAAAAGATTATTGATTTGTCTATATTCATTACTTTTGTGCTGTGACAACATACCTTGACAAAAAGCAAGTTAGGGAAGACAGAGTTTATTTTGGCTCACAGTACCAGAAGGGTCACTGCCATTTCTAGTAGGCAGAAGACATGGCAGCAGGAGGGTGAGGCTGGCCTGCCAGTCCAGAATGGCATTTCATCTTCACAGAAGTGGAGAGAACAGGAGATGGGGGCCTGGTAGTAAAATTCAGAGTGTCCTCAGAGACATTTCCTCCAGCAAGATTCCACATCTTAAAGGTTCCACTTTCCCAAACACCACAAGCTGGAGTGCAAGTATTGAAATACGGTGAGTCTGTAGGGGACATTCGCAGTCAGACCACAGCAGGACCTATCTGACTGTCTTTGACCTGAGAAGAAAGCAGTGGACAATTGAGCCTCCTGTTAGGGCCCACATTTTCCGCTGTGCCTGTGTGCTAGTGCCTGCCACTAGAGGGCAATGTGGGCCCTAGACTGAGTCCTGGATGTTGTAGCAATTTGGAGGGAATGCAAGTGTAGGCTTGGTTTAACAGCAATTATATGAAATACTGATTACATTCTGCAAAGAGATGCGAGTGGCTTTGTGATTAATGTGCTATTTTTGAGTAAGACAGAATGGTACTGTTAACCTTTAGTTCACACCTAACTACCTTTTAATCTGGGAGGATATCTGGATGGATAGTCCCTTCTTTAATAATTAAATGTTAATATTTAAAAAAAATCAGGCTTTAATATTTGTTGTGTATTTATACTAAGGGAAGTATTTATGTGTAGGCTTGCAAGTGACAATTTTATTTCTCCATTTACTTTTTACTGGGGTTTTCTTGTCCCCTTACCTTATTTCCCTGCCTTTCCTTCCCCTTCTTACTCCTTCCTTTCCCTCCTTTCTTCCCCTCCCCTTCCTCTTCCTTCTTATTTTAAGAGAGGGTCTCACTCTGTGGCTCAGGCAGACCTTTGAACTCAAATTCTACCTGCCATGCCTGTTTAGTGCTGAGATTACAGGTATGTGCCACCATGCCTGCCTGGGTCAGGAGTTACTGTTGTCTTGACCACTACACCATTTGTTATATTTCTGGAACTCACAAGTGAATGTTGAATGATAGCTGTGTGGCCTAGAGCAAGTTACTCATAGTTGTATGCCTGGAGTTCTTACATAATTATATAACACTTGACCATGAATACTCCTAAGATTATAAAACAGATTATAAGCATATTCCAAAATTTGCTATTACCTATCTTATATTGGAAGAACCAACATGATATCATTGTTTTCTGGTAAGACAGAATATATTAAGTGGTTGTTTAAGACTCAGAAACCCATCTCCTGCCTTTAAAATGTACTTCCCTTTTTCTTGGATTTCATAATTTGATATATCAGGTTTGATGGTAGATAAAGTTACCAACCTCTAGTCACTGTGGTCTGAGGTTTGCTTTTTACTGGGACTGTTCTACCCGTACTATCTGGGGAGACTTTAGCCCCTCCATTCTCTGCTGTTTGGAATGACTTAAGGGGACAATCTAATTCTCTCTATCCCGGTAGGAGATGGGGAGAACACCTGTCTGGATTGAGTGCAGCATCAACTTCCACATTAGTGAAAACCCATTAGAAATTCTAGCGAACAGACAAGGACCTTTGAGACCAGGTCCTGCCTGTGGTGAGAGGAACTGACACTGCCCAGGGCTGAGGCACACTTTCACTAATAGCTCATGGGATGTGGCATTCTTTTACTCTTTCTCTTGACCCCCTGTGATCTGCTGGAGTTATCTCCACTTGAGTGCTATGGTAAAGGTGGTAGGGAATTATCCTCAAAACCCTTTATGTTTCACCCCAGTTCTGTATTTTGGTATTTTTCTACTCTGTGCAGTATAAAATAAGGAAATTCTAGCTTTAAGTCAGAGCTCAGAGACTGTTTGACAGTGGTTAGGTAAGTGGTGTAGACTGGCTCGGGAATGGCCTGTATGAAGAGGGCAGCACCTCTCTGAGGCTGTTTACAGACTGACTTGTGATCTGGGTACCCAGCATTTCAGCAGAAATGGAGTATCAGGATTTGTATATAAGATTTCCAGGCCAAGCAGCAGACCTGTGCTAGGCTTGAATGCAGCTTGCTCCCAAGCTACTGGCTCATGCTACTGTGGCATTTGGTTCTTTAACTTGGTCACTGCTTTAGAGCCTTTTTTTTTTTTTTTTTTTTTTTCAAGACAGGGTTTCTCTGTGTAGCTTTGGAGGCTGTCCTGGCACTCGTTATGGAGACTAGGCTGGTCTAGAACTCACAGAGATCTTACTGCCTCTGCCTCCTGAGTGCTGGGATTAAAGGTGTGCACCACCAATGCCAGGCCTTCAGAGCTTTTTTTCTGCTGGGTGATAAGATGGAGTTTCAGGGCCCAGTAGCCACATGAGGGGAGTCCCATGGACTGTGGGGCCCCCAGCCTCCAATTACTAAGTGAGTCGGTTACTGGTGACATCATGGCCAAGCAGTTGGGTGGGGAGGGCCCCTTAGTTCTGCAGAGCTCTTGGACCACTTCCTTCCTCTTGGCTTCTGTCCTCGATTATGGCTGATGTAAGAGCAGAGGCAGCTGCATCTTTGGGTGCTTCAGGGATACGGATAAAGGGAAGGTCCACAGGTGGCAGGGAAAGCTACTTTTCACTTCTCTTTCCTGGATCCCAGGAAACAGACTTTGTACTGAGTAATGGAAAAACCAGGCCAGCTGCACCAGGCAGCAGCATCATAGGCGTTTCCTCTGTCCCGGCTCCTACTACCACCACCAACCCCAAACCACAAAACCTACAGTGTTCTTGTTTATATTTGTTTCGTACCAGTTTGTGCTCAAAGATTAGAGTTTTTAGTTGTCTAAAGTCTCAAGTTTAGTATGTACTTTACTTATCTTGAATCCACTAGGCCTAGGCATTCTGCTTGATTACTGTCATCAAAAATACAAGAGCTTTGTTTCTTACTTGGCTGTGTTTGTTCCACACCTAGCTTTTTCAAGGCCTTTGCTCGGTGATCTCGAGGTCTGTGTCTTAAGTCTTCCAGCACATCATTAGTTCCTGGCTTCATGCCTAGGCTCCAAGGGGCTTATTAACAGGTGCCCTCTGCAGGAGCAGCCTAGAGTCTCTACATGTAAAACAAGGGAAATGTATGTGGGTGGCTTCCTGCTGGGGTCCATGTATACCGA